CTCGGGGCCCAGCGGCCGAAGAAGACTCGTGTCGCTCTCCGCAGCGTCGCCATGTCCTCGGTGTTCGGAAAACCCCGCGCGGGCAGCGGGCCGCAGAGCGCGCCGCTCGAAGTCAACCTGGCCATCCTAGGGCGCCGCGGGGTCGGCAAGTCCGGTGAGTGGCGCGGGGGTGCGGGGGACCAGAGAGATGGGGAGTGGCTGGGGGGAACAGGGCGCTGTGGACTTGGGGGCAGATTCTTCCACCGGCCTTTTGGGGGCTTCCTTCACCGAGGAGGGTTGGGCCGGACACCGCGATTTTCTTCTTTGTCTCAGTTTCTCTGCTACTGGGATTTCAGCACCTCCATCCCTTTCATCGGTCTCGTCCCTTGCCTGTCTCCTCCCTTTGTGTCTTCCCTCTATGTCTCTGTCCTCCGCGTCTGTGCCCCCCGTCTCTCCCCTCTCTGTCTCTCTCCCAGACCTCTGCTGGTCTCTCTTGTCGCCAGCTCCTTCCTCCCGCTCCACACCTACCCCCACCCTCATCTCCTTTCCCTGGGGCCAACTGTCAGTCTTGGTGACTGGCACCAAAGGAACCTGTTAGACACTGATCTCCAGCCCAGGGCCCCTCTGAGCTTAGTGCCAGCCTTGCACTGATTTAGGCTGCGTGCTAAGGAGTCCCATCCAACTTCTGTCAAGGAAGTTGATAGCAGTCACTGGCTATTGGGATTTCTTAGGGGAGAGCCACTCCTCCACTCCCCACCCCAATTCTCTGGGATTCCGGGACAAACTGCATTCTTATCAAATGTATTTATTTCAAGCAAGATCCCGCTCTTGACTTTCTGGAAACACAATGGACTGTGGTCCCAGGTACCTGGGATTTGTCCTTGATGAACCAAGATCTTGGGCTTCCATTGAGATTTCCATCAACACTGAACTCTGCTGTCAGCCAGCTTGAGCCCAGAGGGGTGTGGGTGGGTCTGTCACCAGAGAAAAAGGGTCTGCCTCTTCCCCCTGCCACTCACAGTCCCTGACAGCTGAAGGTGGGAGGGCAGAGGGGGGGACTCCTGCACTGGCTGTTTTTCCAGTTACAGCCATCAGTGAATGGCCAACACCAACTCAGTTAGCTGTGGGTTTCTTTCCCCAGTGTTCTCTGAGACTCACTGGGGGTGTACTCTCTGATTTTGAAGCCAGCACCCCTGGGTCAGAGAGGGGACTCTGAATCTGGTTTACCTACGGCAAAGATTTGCCCTCTTCCCTTTGAAAATCAGATTGTTATCTGTAGCTCTGTCACTGGTGCAATACAGCCAGCGACTACATGAATGAAAGAATTTAAATTTTAAAATATGTGTTCTCTGGGTATCAGTTTGCAAACTGACACTGTTTAGGAAAGAATTTTAAGAATTTTCTTAACAACATTGCATTACTTTTTAAGAGTCCAGTACAATAGTTGGCTAGCCCTTGCCTTTATGTGACTAAACTCTGAACAAAGTCAGAGTTCCTATTGATGCTTTCCACTGGGGAGAACTTCATTCTACAGTTTTACATTCTGCTGAGACACGCATGGTGAGTGTGAAGGCCCTAGAGAGAGCCAAGACTTGAACTTGAAATGGGGAAGACTGACAGTAGAGTGTGTTTACTTGGGACACAGATCCAGCCTGGACCTCGCCTGGAAATCCCAGGCACTCAGGGTTCATACCCTTCCCAAGGATCACCCACTGATCAACTCTGCTCTTATTCTCTCTTTGGCTTGCAACCAAAGCTGGAATAAATGCCCTATGCTTCAGAATCTTTATGACTTGTCCGGGGTGGGGGGCATCTCCCTCCAGCTGGGGTCTCACCAGGCTGACCCTAAAGTAACTGGTTGCATGGGCCCAGACCCCTGAGCTCAGGTCTTCACAAAGGCCCCTTAGTTTGGCTCTCATTGCTTTTCTTGCCATTAAAAAAAAAACCTAAAACCAGGGTGCAGCTAGAGGGACTCCCCATATTTCTGGTTTCTTCTGAGCCTCTCAAAACAACTCCTCAGCTCCCCAATATTGTTCCTTGAGAGAGCCGAGCTTGGTGTCAGCCAGGTATCACGGGCTTAGATAAGGCCTCCCTAAAGTGAGAGGGGCAGCTTCCAGGGGCCAGCAGCCAGACACAGCAGTGGAGACTGAGCCAATCTCTTTCTGCTTCTTGCAGCCCTGACTGTGAAGTTTCTGACCAAGAGGTTTATCAGCGAATATGATCCCAACTTGGGTAAGAGACCACCCCTCCCT